AAGCGGAGAGCTGGCTCCGGCAGCGGCGGCGGCGGTGGCGGCGGCGCCTCCGCGTCCGGGGGAGGCGCAGCCCCCAAGACCCCTAAAGAGAAAAGGAGTCACGCCAAGCGGGGGTCCACCAAGAGCAGCAGCAAGAAGGACACGTCCAAAAAAAGGAGACGATAACGTTTATTTTTTTACCTATGCATATGTTGTAGCCGGTTATCTTGGTAGTAATATTATTGTGAAAGGACATCAGTTGGCGAGATGATGGACGTACAAGGTCGTTCGATCTACATGGTTCGTAGCTGGCCGTCTGTCGTCTTGGTGTCGTAGGTTGTCCAGGCCCAACATCGGACATGCGCACCCCCTGGTCATGCCGTTGCTCATTGATTGTGATAGCGGCGCGAGAGTAGGTAAAGGGAACGTTAAGAACTAAGATCAATCGAAATATGATAACGGAAGAAGCAGGGGCGGAGGGAGATGAAGGTAGGCACCAAGTCGATGGCCTCAAGGTAGTTTGCTGCGCTATTGAGTCGTATTGGCAGATGTGCATCCAGGCGCGGCGCACACTGGGGGAAGAGAGAGTTTTTGAGTATTTCTCGGTCTCACAAACCACGAGATGGACCGAGGGTAGTACAAATAGTGCTTTTGAGCTCGTCCGGGAGAACATAGCCCGCTCACGCCTGTGCGTTGGTTTTCCGCATGTGTGACCTGACGTCATGAACGTGGGTTTGGAGGAGTAGAGGTGATTCCTCGCGATTACAAGTTGGCGTGCATTTTTTGTGTTGTTATTGGTAGTGGTTGTGATGTGTCTGTGTCGTCACGCTACCTGGTCCAGACGTCGGACCACGTACCACCTTGCGGTGGAGTCTGCGGACGCCCTAGCCGATGTCACTCAACAGGAAGAAGACCACACGTTGTTACTTTTTTCTTTTTTCACTCCTATCTGAAAATACAAAATTGTTGTTCGTTACATGCGTTCGAATGTACGGCAACTGTGCGTGATACGGCACCGGGTTGCGATGGTGTTAAATTCTTAAAGATTTTTTTTACAGCACCCCGGTGCCGTAACACCGATGAGTGCCATAACACCGATACCGGTGCGGCAATGCCATTTTTCCAACGCACCCACGGTGCGATATTGGGAGCGATACGACATACCACTCGTTTAGGAATGTAAGGACCATTTGGAGACTAAAATAGTAACGTGATCGTCCTAATGGTTGCTATATTTCCGAACAGAGTGAGTGGTACGACACGGTGGCCCTGCTACGGTTCCACGTGTAGGGATCCCGGTGCGGGGACACCGGTTAATGCGATACTAAGGAAACGACTACAGGCGCTGCTCGCACAAGTAGGACCGTTTGTTTGCGGTACAGGGTCCGGGGTACGCATCTGTCAAAAGACGAAATACGCTGTGGTTCCCTCTTGGGAATAGATAAAGCGGTACTCGTAGTGTCTGTCGTCGTCCAGCCTCGTTGTTAGAGCAAGCCTCGTTCATTCGTTGGCTGGTGCTTCCCCCTGTCTTTGTCTTCCCCATGGAGCACGGAAGTACCGGTAGGCTAGCGCCATTGATGAGCTAGTTCCTTTCTTGGTTCGTTGGAGGTGTGGGATGTGTGGTGCCGTGTGCTTGCTTGGTAGAGTGCATTTGAGATACCGATTTCCGTGAAAAAAGACTTGGGCTCACTTCGACGCGTACACGTCTGAAGGTACGATTGGCGCCCCACTTGATGCCTACCGGCACTCTCTCACCCGCGTTGGTTAAATACAGTTCGATTCGCAGCCCGGAGGGTACCGGTTTCTGGCGGAAACACCCGAATATACGTCCTACGCAGGTCATATCGTTGACATCGCACCGGATGCCGTAACACCGAACAGATACCGGCGCGGAAATGCAGTTTGCCGTTCTTGATTTTTTTGCAAACTCCGGTGCCATAACCACGATGGGTGCGACGTTACTCATGGGTGTTATAACACTACGGAATGTTATGAGCAAAGATATTGTACAGCAGTGGATTCAGAGGGCGGTGGGTGGACAACTGTGACTTGACTATGCGCCACAGCCGCTAGCCGCTGTATCTCGTGTGCGTCTCTTCGACATCTGTTCGAGACATGTTCTGTATGCGTCGCTCGTTGTCGGCGGTTGTGCCAACATAACATCCGTCAAGTGGTGAAAACATCAGTGCAATATCATACTGACTCGCATTTCTACGTCGACCAATGTCGCGAAAAGAACGAGATCACGCTTTCCCTTGCCTCTTTTCAAAAAAGACTTCCCCCCCGACTCACCCCCCCGGTGTTTGCCATCGGGATTGGGTTTTCGTCGCTTGGCAACGACGTTGTAAAACAAGCCCCCCCCTCGGAGAACTGTCTAAATCCTTCGACATTGAGCAGGGGGTCCCACAAGGTTGCACGCTGTCCCCAACATTGTTCCAGGTGTTCATCAACGATCTGTTGGAAGTCGTAGAGGCAGTCCGAAAGCGAGTAAAAGCAGGGGGCACGGAAACGTCGGTTTCAGGAATGCTGTTTGCGGATGATTTTGTCGGTATGTCGGACACCCCTGAGGGACTGCAACTGCAAATTGACGCGCGAAGAAATTTCCTGATAAGTGTAGTTGTCTGCCAACGTTCAGAAGAGTGCCGTCATGGTATGCAACGAGAACAAGGAGGAACCAGTAGAACATAGATGGAAGTGGGGGATCGAGGAGATTACAGTAGTGGACCAGTACACATACCTTGGAGTAGAGATCGCAAAAGACTGCTCGTGGAATGCACACATGTCCAA